TATATCTTTTTTTTTTTGTGTTTCTTTTTTTTTGATATGAAGGCAGGCACAACGCAGCCATGTGTTTCCGGGGCATAAAAAGACAAGGACTAATATTGACGTCATTGGAATTTTTCCCGGGCATAGAAAGACAAGGATAATCATTAGGGCATAACAAACAAGGACTGATAGTGAAGATCCATTCTGTAGGCAGGAATTTTTCCGGATCATAAAAACAAGGATTGATAGTGACGTCAGGAGCTGTAGGGCATAAAAGACAAGGACTGATTGAAAGATCATTAGGTAGGCGATCAGCATTGGAAATTTTTAATAAAAAAATATAACCGCCTGAACCATCCGGATTATTAATTAAACGGTGTCTCCGAGATCTGGTTCAGATCGCCCGATTCAAACGGTGTCTCCAAGATCCAATCTGGATCGCCTGATTCTAGATAAAATCGATGATTTTTTAAACACCGATTTAAAGAGAAAAACAAAAGAGCACTAAGATTTTACGTAGGGACCCTAAAATTTTAGATAAGATATGAAATGCTATGTATTGGAAATTATACAAAAAAAAAAAAGTTCGGTTAACTTACTTCGTTTTTTTTTTCTTTTGAAACTAGAATTTGCTGACCAAAGAGCGATTAAAAAAAAAAACAACCGGTTGACCGACATTCTTTGTAATTTCTACTTATAAACAGAGTATTTTGTATTTTACTTAAAATTTTAAGATCTGTGTGTAAGTAACAGTTAACATTATTGAAAAAAAAAAAAAAAAAAAAAAAAGAAAGGGAAATGATACGGAGGATTATTTATAGAGTGGAAGAGCTGTAAGATTATTGAAATAAGAAACCTACAAAATATAAGGACAAAGAGATAGTAAAAGAAACATGATACCATCCATAAAATTACGAGAAAGAAGAAAGCCCTACACCATGATGATAAACTAGTAAATGATAAAAAAGCAGAGATTACTACAGTATCATTCCTAACGAAAAGAGAAAAAAGCAGAAGAGAGAGGGAGGGAGGAATATTAGAGACATAGGAGAAAGCAAGCAGAGAGAGGGAACATACGGACCAGAGCATGATCCCTGAGGCTGAAGAAAGCTTAAGAAACTCCCAGAGGCCCGAGAAGGCCTCCCTTGAGAACCCTGTCCATGTCTGGGGGCACCAACCGCAGCAAGCATATGCAAACTGACCGATCACCGGCACCCACCACGCAAAATTCAGGGTCCAGGCCGCCCCTACGAGCCCGAGCTTCAGCCCGGAAATCAGTCCCCAACTCAGCCCAACATGTAGCAGCAATGAACCGACGGCTATCCACGCAATTATCATATTCCTCAACTGGCTTTGGAGGAATCTTTGAAGAGGAAAGAGGAAAACAAAGGCAAAGTGTTGGGGGATAAACCATATCGACACAGAGCCAGCGAGCTCCGCGATCTCGGCTGTTTGGCCTGTGAGCTTAAGGATCGGGGTGGCGAAGATGTACATCGGGAGGAGGAGTAGGGCGCATATGAATAGGACGATCCACGATCGCTGCATGTACACTCCGAGCATGTGGTACTTGCGTGCGCCAAATGCCTGGCCGCACAGCGTCTCTAGTGCGCTCGCCATGCCCAGCTACGATTTAATCACCCAATGCAGTTAGATGAGAATGAAATAAACCAGAGGGATTATTCAGGCATTGAGAGAGAACTGAGAGAGATTTCTAAAGAGGAGAGATAAGAAAAATGCGGAAAGATAGAAGAACAGATACCAAAAAAAATAAAACAAGAGATGGGCAGGTTATCATCATCATCCGAGCCTTATTTTAACTATTTAATGTTATTTCACACTGAGCTAAGGTCTAATACCCTCAAAATATAAATCTTTGTATCTCTTGTCGTTACTTTTATAGATAGAAGCAATAGGAAGAAATAATCTAAATTAGAATACGGCCATTGATAGAGTAGAATGGCCAAAGAGGATTTATTTCGCCAACCCTAAATTGTTGAGTTCTGATAATAGAAAATGATACTCTTCTTACTTTGGAGTTCGGATAATAGAAAATGATAATCTCTTTTTACTTCCATCATGTCGATCTAGGCTTCTCCTTTCCTCCCTTCTGTGGAATAGATAAGAGAGAGAAAGAAGAGAGAGAGAGAGAGGGACTCGATGAAATTACCAAGAGGCCAAAGTTGAAGCCAACGATGACAGTGCTGGCAATGGAGATTGCAGCGAGCTCTAGGTCCCCCAAATGACCTGCAAAAACCAGCGTGATAACATTCATTCCATACATAGAAAACCTACTAAGTATGGCAGGCCCTACAATCTGCCATAGCTTCTTTGACTCCTCCCACACCCTCTCCACCAAACCACCTCTCTCTCTCTCTCTCTCTAACAGACCCACCTTCTCCTCACCAATCTCCGCCATCTCTCTCTCTAAATGCAAAATCAAAGAACAAGAGGAGCGGTAAAATGATTGCTGCCTTCCTCTTCTCCTCCTCCGCCCTCTCTCTCTCTCGCTCCACAAATGAGGTGCTGAGAATTGGCCTCTTTTATTCACACCTGCACGACTCTTTTTCTCTATCAATTTGAAAGGGGTCGTGATCATAGTTAGCAAGTCCGAGGATTTTCAATAAATCCGTTTACTTTAAAATCCGGAAAAAATCTTTTTTATTTCAAAAAGTTGGATGAAAAAATCGGATAAAAAATATAGATCGGCAAAAATATTTCATATAAAGATATCGCCAATATATCGGACTAGGCTAAAAAAATTGGAGTAAAAAAATCGGATAAGTTAATACTTCACACCAAAAAAAAAATACACAATATAAATTTTCACATTAAGTAATTTAACAAAGATCACAACTACTTAAACAAAAACAAAAAAATGTACACAATATAAACTTTCACATTAAATACTTCAACAAATATCAAATTTACTTAAATATCAACATACCCAAAAAAAGGCACAATCTTTTTTTACAAATATCAAATCTATAAAATATCAACATACCCAATATACACCATATAAATCTTCACATTGAATACTTCAACAAATATCAAATCTACGTGAATATCACCATACCCAAAAAAAAAAAAAAAAGCACAATTAAATATCAACAAATATCAAATATACTTAAATATCAACATACCCAAAATCTACTTTAAAAGCCCAAATCTACATAAATACTTTAGCAAATATCAATATACCCAAAAAAAATACACAATTTTTTTTTTTTTATGATTAAATGCTTTAACTATGGTTAAGTCACTTATAACTATGGTTAATATAAAGGTTACTTTGTACTTTATATAATTGTTTTCATTGAAAACCGCTTCTTCAAAACCATTTGTGAGCTTGGAGAGTTTTGGGAAAAAGATGGAACGAGGCTTTAGAAGACCCGAGAACAGAAGAAACTCGATAGAACTCTCTTCTCCCCCTAATCTCATTGATAAGGAAGCTCGATAGAATGGGGTATGCTTCTTCAAAATTGCGGAGGGGGTTTTGCTTTATGAGTTTGGAAAAAGCTCAAAATTGGGGATGGGGGTTTTATCTGTTAGCGAGAGAAAATCAAATGGGGTTCTTGGGGGTGGCGGTTTTCAGGAGCATGAAGATTATGAAATTTGCAGGAACATGAATATTAGGTTTGTTGATGGAAATAATACGTTTTTTCAGGAACATGAAGATTATGAAATTTGCAGGAACATGGGTTTTCTTTGTTAGGATTTTATTTGTTATGGAAATAATACGTTTTTTTAGAAATTACATATATCAGGAAATTTTTTTTTCTTTTTTTAAAAAAATACATATAAAAATGCGTTTTTTTAGGCCCTTTTAATTCGTTCTCCAAAAAAATGCGTTTTTAACGTTTTAATGAAAAAACATTATTTTTTGACGACCGTTTCAAAAACACGTCGTTTTAAACGTTTTTTAAAAAAAAACACCGAATTTTTAAAAAATCGACAATTAATCGCCGATTTGTTAACTATGGTCGTAATGGGAGCTGACTCTCTCTCTTTTATCTCTCTATCACTAAAAAGGAGGCAGGGAGTTTGTTTTTTATTTTTATTTTTATTTTTTTGAAAAAACTACAAAAGTCCTTCCTTGACCCAACTTTGTTTATAAACTACTTCCAACCAATTTTTTATCACAACTTATACCCCAAAACAAATTTTTTTAGAAAATATCTTCCAGTAAAAAATAATAGTTTTTATGACCAAAATGCCCTCTCTCTCTCCTAACACCGACTACTAAACATTTCTCAAAACATGCAAAAAGATGGTATGGCAGTATAAACAAGCGGTTCAACAATATCCCAAAGCGATCTGGCAATAGGCTCTTGCAGTCTGGCACTGCCAAAGAGCAGTCCGACAATAGCCCCATGCGGTCCGACAACAGGCTCATGCGGTCTGGCAATAGACCCAAAGTCTGTCTAGCAATGTCCCCACTCAATCCAGTATATTGTGGACTCGATCTGGCATTCTTTTTGGTTGTTGAGCATCTTACGGGAATGTGACACCATTATGTACGAACAATAGCATTTTTATCAAAAAACCGATGATTTTTTTATTTAAGGGGGTATTGGCTAAAAAAGGCTTGTTTTGTGCTAATCTTACAGAGATATGACATCATTGTGTATGGATAAAAATATTTTTGTCAAACAAAATAAAAATAGTGACTTTTTAATTTAAGGGGGTATTGGCTAGAAAAACTTGTTTGGAGTAAAATTGTGATAAAAACATTGGTTGGGGAGACGATGTTTAGAAAACCCAAAGCGTTGTTTCAATTTTCTCGTATTTTTTCATTTTGTACGACGGGGGTAAGAGGGCCCTACCATAAACACAGGACGTGGCGCTAACCTATAGAGCGCCGGCTCGTTTTTTAGAAGCGATGAGAGAAGTTATTAGTCCGTATATGTCTTGTCTGAGCACAAGGAAATGTGAAGAAGATATTGAAAATGGTGATTATTTTATGGATGTGACGGGATGCCTTTGGCATCGTATGCGAGCAGGTCGGCCCCTCGGCCAAATTACCCTTGTTATATTTGCCCTGCAAAATAAGACTTGTTTTGTTTATTGTTAGAAGAAAGTTTATATAAGGATGCAATATTATAATGTAGAATTACGGATGCAGCTCAAAACCTTCTGATGAATGATCTCGACATCGACACGTATGACTATGAAAAATAATAAGATTTCAAGTCTCAAAAAATAGTATATTTTACAACATATTATCTACATCATCTATTTTTAAGATTTTCATATATTTATAGATCTACTTGATTTTAACTATTTTTTAAATTTAAAATTTTATAATTAGATATAAAAATAGATTTGGAGATAATCCTAAGAACATTTTACATCAAAATTATATGCCATGATAAAATTTAAAGGTGCGCTTTACCTCTACAGCTACGCATGCATCTGTATGCCAAAAACGAAAGAAGAGCCTTTCAATGTTGTGCTCGCTATTCATCCAGCTAAGCAGTGAACGAAATTTCGCTGAATTTTTCGATTATTCGGGCTTCTTCAAAGTTGTGTATATTTATTTGAGTGATTTATATAGAGACATTAAAAAAATTTCTAAATTACAAAATGCTCTATTTATAGATAAAAATTATAAAGAACATCAGTTAAAATATATATTTTTTTGTTTCTTTAGTTTTTCATTAGTAAGGCAGTACTCCAAGTTTTTGGGTAGTGCCCTACCAAAAAAAAAAAAAAAATAGGTCCGTTGATGTCTTCAAACAAAAGGGCAATTTTGAAGAAAGTAAAAAAAAAAATTGTAAGTCGTCCGATTTTTTTTTTCACCTATAAATAGGGCATTTGGTATTTTAGGAAAAAAATTTAGAATCCACACCTAAGTAACTTAATTTATTTTTGGCTTGCCTGTTAGCAGGTATTTATTGAAAGTTTTGAAAGGACGACAAGGAATCCCCCTCAACGCCTATGTGTTGTCTCAATTTTTGTTTCTATATATATAACAAGTTGAATTAAACTCCGTGACACTGGGTATCTAAACCTGCAGAGTTTTTAAAACCTTTGAGCAAATGTCTTGGAAGTGTAAGAGAAGGAAAGGTTTACAGTTGTCTAGGAAAGCCTTACGGCTGGCAAACGGCTCGGCCTGGGCTCGCATCCATGGCGATAGGGCAGAACCCACCCTGTCCGGACTAAGGGCCTGTCAAAACCTAGATGGGCCAAATATAATCCAAGAAAAAGAAAGGGAAAACATCTCTGTTCAACATAAATTATTAATGGAAGACTGAAATAATGGAAGACTCAAGCTCAAAAAATATGAAAATCACCCGAGTATATGTTTTTGACGGATAAAACTCGGTTTCCATATTTCTTAACTGAAAATCTGAAATTTGGGAGTGATTTTGATAGATTTTGGAACCTTTTCGTGTTTTTAACAGCAATATTATTTTCATAATAAGATTTGGGTTCATCAAAACCCAAATCGAACAACAATTTAACACGAAATTAAAGGGTTCTTAAGGTTCTTGGCACATAAAAAAAAATCCCCTAATCTCTTCCGTTCTCTCTTATTTATCCACTTGATAGATTATGGGTTCTTTCTCAATCTATTGAAGTTATCTACAAAAGCCCTCTGCCAGTTCTCGTCTTTATCAAATTTAATCACTATAAATTTTCTTCGTATCCCCTATTTTTTGTTTTCATATCTCAATAGACCCAAAGATTTAAAATATATATCATAACCCCCTGACTAACTTTATCTACTTTTAGCTATTTTTTTTAGCCCTAACAAATATAAAAAAGTTATGTTCATTCTAAACCTTTTATCTCTTTACGTGATATATTCCTCCCAAATTTTTCTCTCTAACATTCACCCTCTTTATCTCCCTAAGGGAGAGAGAGAGAGTGAGAGACTAGGGGGAAGGAAGAGAGAGTGGAAAAATAGGTAGAGAGATTTAGGAAAAAATTATGTGAAGAGAGATAAATAATGGTATTTAGAAAGGATATGTCCTTTTTATATTTGTTTGAGGCAAAAAACTAGGTTTAAACGAGATAAAGTGAGCTTAAGGGGTTAAAAGATATAAAACTTAGAATTTTTATGATCCAAGATATGTTTTGAAACTTTGGGTCTATTGAGATATAAAACTTAAAAATGGGGGGTATGGAGATATTTTTCCTTTTTTTTTTTTTACCAAACCTCATTGTTGTTGTTGATTTCTACACCAAATCGGATGAATTTTGCCTTGTTTTTAGGCTCTGTTTAGAGTGAAAAAGGACTACTGGAAATTGATATTTTGAGCTCGATTTCACTTTATAATTCTTCCAAATCAGTAAATAAAGTCTCGCACCATTCTCCAGTAGATGTAGGTCACAGTTTGTCTTCGAAACACGTTAAATCTTTGTGCTCTGTGGATTTAATGTTGTTGGATTTTTCATTCTATGTTCTTGCTTTGACATTGTGTAATTTTTATTACTTGTTTAAATTGATATGAATGCACAATAGTTGTGAATTTTATAAACTCTTGCTGATTTTTCACCAATCGATCTTAATAAATGG